CTGACTGTGCATGCAGCGTGTGCTGGGTGTGCATGCACCGTGGGGGGGTGCCCGCCTGCTGACGGCAAGACACTTCGGCCTTTCCTCCTGTTTCTCTCTCGGTCTTCCAGCCTGGGGGCTGGCAGGTGGGTGCACAGCTTGCTGTCCTTGAGACCCCACCCTCAGAGGGGGGGCTGGGTGGATGCAGAGGCAGGCATGGTGCCTGGGCATGCCTGATGGGGTGGGGGGGGACAGCCCCTCACTGGCTGGGGCCGCACGGCTTATCCCACCTGACACTCCGGCGGAGTGGCATCTTCACCACCTCTACTTACACACTCTTTGAAATGGGCTCACAGGATGCAAATGTACTTTAAAACTTTTCTCTGGAAAGTGTTTCTGCTGCTTGACCCTGGAAGCCCACGCCTGCCCTGGCCTCTCCTGTGCCCCCTCTCTCTCCTGCCCCATTTGGGGGTAGGAAGTGGCACTGCAGGGCCTGGTGCCAGCCGGTCCTTTCCCAGGGAGAAGCTTCCCTGCACCAGGCTTTCCTGAGAGGAGGGGAGGGCCGAGCCCCCACTTGGGGGACCCCGTGATGGGGCTCCTGCTCCCTCCTCCGGCTGATGGCACCTGCCCTTTGGCACCCCAAGGTGGAGCCCCAGCAACTCACCCCTTCCAGCTAGCTGAGCCTTGCTGTGGGGGAGAGGGGGAAGACGGGAGGAAAGAAGGGAGTGGTTCCATCGCGCCTCCTCACTCCTCTCCTCCCGTCTTCTTCTCTCCTGCCCTTGTCTCCCTGTCTCAGCAGCTGCAGGGGTGGTGTGGGCCCCTCCAGCCTCCTGGGTGGCGCCAAGCCAGAGTCCAAGCTCAGGGACAGCAGTCCCCTCCTGTGGGGTCCCCTGAACTGGGTTCACACCTCACACCTTTCCCTAACCACCCTCAGTGTGGGCCTTTGGTCCTGGTGGGGTCCATCTGGCCATGGGACCGAGAGCTTGTGCCCACTGTTCATCTGAGGGAGGAGGCAGCAGAGGCCAGGGGCTGGTCTGGATCCCGCTCACCTCCCTCCCACCTCTCTTCTTTCTGGGACACCTCTGCCTGCCAGCTCTGGCTTCCCTCCCCTGACCCGAAGGGTGGCCTGGGGACAGGGCTGTTTTCTCCTCCTGCAGCACCCCCGGGACAGTGGGGCAGTGTGGTGCTAACGCCCTCTCTCTGTGCTGTGGACTTCCAGGCAGGCCCGCAAGCCGTGTGAGCCGTCGCAGCCGTGGCATCGTGGAGGAGTGCTGCTTCCGCAGCTGCGACCTGGCCCTCCTGGAGACCTACTGTGCCACCCCCGCCAAGTCCGAGAGGGACGTGTCGACCTCTCCGACCGTGCTTCCGGTGAGGGTTCTGGGCCCCTTCCTCTTTCCCTCAAGACAGAGAAACAGGGCTTTGGGCTCTTGGTGTTTCCTGTGGCCACTGGGACTCTTAGCTGGGGGTGAGGACCCGTGACTTCTTTGCTTGCTGCGTGGCTGGGGAGCAGCTCAGGCGTTGGCCCCTCCCATCCCCCTGCCCCTGGACGTTAGCCAGTGCAGTCATGGGGTGAGGGGTGGGATGTCAGATCAGGTGGGTGGCTCAGGCGGAGGAGCAGAGAGTGGCCACCTGCTGACCAGCCCCTTCCCCTCCCAGGACAACTTCCCCAGACACCCCGTGGGCAAGATCTTCCAATATGACACCTGGAAGCAGTCCACCCAGCGCCTGCGCAGGACCCTGCCTGCCCTCCTGCACAACCGCCGGGGTCGTGTGCTCACCAAGGAGCTCGAGCTGTTCAAGGAGGCCAAGCGTCACCGTCCCCTGACCGCTCTGTCCACCCAAGACCCCACCCACGGGGGCGCCCCCCCAGAGATGTCCAGCAATCAGAAGTGAGAAAAACTGCCTGCCACGAGTCTGCGGCCCAGCACCACCACCTTCCTCCTGACCACGGGTGTTTCCATCAGGTTCCATCGCTAAAATCTCTCGGTTCTACTTTCCCCCCGGGCTTCTCCTGACCCTAGCCCCCGTGCCCCGTCTCCCCAAAAACAGGCTACTCTCCTCTGCCCCCTCCATCGGGCTGAGGAAATACAGCAACATCTTCAAAAATGTACAAAATTGATTGGCTTTAAACATTCTCTACGCCCCCACCAAATTATCCCCACACATAAAAAAATCAAACATCAAACTAAACCCTTCCCCCAACACACAACGGCCCTCTTAAAACTAATTGGCTTTATAGAAACACCAGAAAAGCTCAGAAATTGGCTTTAAAAAACCCAACAACCAAAAAAATCAATTGGCTAAAAAAAAAAAAAAAATTGTCTTAGAAACAATTGGCAAAATAAAGGAATTTGGCACTCCCCACCCCCTCTTTCTCTTCTCCCGTGGACTTTGAGTCAAATTGGCCTGGACTTGAGTCCCTGAACCAGCAAAGAGAAAAGAGGGGCCCCAGAAATCACAGGGGGGCATGTCGCTGTTACCGCCATCTCCCTTCTAATCCGGCCACCCCAGTACAGCAACAGCCCAGCTGGCTCCTCACTCCTTTTCCATCACTGAACATCATTGAGCAGCCGGAGGGACCCAGTGAGACCGCAGGAGGGGAGGCCAGAGCATGAGAACCCAAATCCACACAAACACAATTTAATTGGCCCAACCCCCACCCCCAAACTTCCATCTCAATTCCCATCCTAAAAAGCACTCACACTTTATGCATCCCTGCAGCCACACCCACACAACACACACACAAACACACACATGCACACACAAGCACCCACCTGCGCACACACCTTAGCTTTTATGCGCTCACATACACACGCCTGCGCTCACGCCTTAGCTTTTATTGGCTCACATGCACACACCTGCACACACACTTTAGCTTTTATGCGCTCACATGCACACACACCTTAGCTTCTATGCACTCACATGCACACACACACACACCTTAGCTTTTATGCGTTCACATATACACAGTTGCACACACATGTTAGCTTCTATGCGCTCACATGCACACACCTGCACACACACCTTAGCTTCTATGCGCTCACAGGCACACACACCTTAGCTTCTATGCGCTCACATGCACACACACACACAC